AAAAGCCGGAAGTGGCGCTGTGGCTCAAGTGGTAGAGCACTAGCCTTGAGCTGAAGAGCTGAGGGACAGTGCCCTGGCCCAGAGTTCAGGCCCCATGACCGGACCCCCCCCCAAAAAAAGAGTTTCATGGACTTTCCTGCCCGGGTTGGCTTTGAACCCCGGATCCTCAGATCTCAACTTTCTGAGTAGCTAGGATTACAGGCGTGAGACACCAGCGCCTGGCTGGCTCTGATCAGCCCCTTGGCTGCTACAGGGTCTCCCTCTCCCTGCCTGGACAGCCTCAGACACCAATCCTCCTACTTGGGCCTCTCACAGAAAGGATCCACCCCCACCTGCTTGTTTGTCGAGTTGGGGGTCTCACCAACTTTGCCCTGTCCTCTCCAACTCTCAAGTAGCTGGGATTACAGCCATGTGTCACCGAGGCACCCTGCCCCATGGTTTTATATATATATATATATATATATATATATATATATATATTACAAAATTTTAAGCGTGCACGTGCATGCATGGTTGTGACACACACACACACACACACACACACACACACACACAATATACAGTTACTGAGTGCTGGTGGCTCCTGCCTGTCATCCCAGCTACTCAGGAGGCTGAGCTCTGAGGATCACAGTTCAAAGCCAGCCATGGGCAGGAAAGTCTGTGAGACTCTTATCTCCAATAAACTACTCAGAAAAAGCTGGAAGTCGTGCCGTGGCTCAAGTGGTGGAGAGCCAGCCTCGAGCACAGAGAGGCTCAGGGACAGTGCCCAGGCCCAGGACTGGCAAAATAAACATCTACAGCTGAGCCACATGCAAATGCCTGCTGTATTTGCACAGAAGGTGGCAGCGGTGACACTTTGCTCACTGGCTGGCGATCTACCAACTGAGTCACGCCTCCAACCCCCATGTTTCCCATTGAAGGGATATCCTGGCTCCTTTAGACCTTGCTCAGGCTCGGGTCCCCGGCCACGGCCTGATGGTGCTCTCACCTCCACATCTCCTGGAGAGGCCATCCCCCCCAGCCTCACCCCTGCGCCCCCCGGGCAGGAAGTAAGACCCCATCCTATAAATAATGGGTGACAAGCAAACACCCATCAGGGTGCCCCTGGTGAAGAGCGGCCGCCCCGGAGCTTCGTGGATGGGGTGCAGGAAGGAGGTGGGATTCAGGAAGGGGGAGTTCCAGCTGCCTTGGTATGAGATGGGGCAGAACTCGGCCCTGAGACCTGCCCTGTCTGGGGAGAAGGGGGTCCCCAGGTACTCACCCCGGTCATTGGAGCCGCCCACATACTTCATGACCTTAGGCATGGCCTCCCGGAGAGCCTCGTCCACCGGCTTCTCCGTCACCTCCACCGTGGCGAACTTCCCACCTTCGCAGGCCCGCTCCTCGTAGGACAGCTCCTCCTGGAGAAGGGGAGACACCATGGGAGAGAAGGGGTGAAGGCCTGGCCACCGGGGAGCTAGGCTTTGCAGGCAGTAATTTGCCCGTGGGCCTGATCGCAAACCAGCTCCTCCTTGGGTGGGAAGGTGGCTCAGTGGTAGAGCGCTTGCCTTGCATGCCTAAGGCCCTGGGTTCGAGTCCTCAGCACCACATAAGCAAAAAGAAAAAAGCCAGAAGTGGCGCTGTGGCTCAAGTGGTAGAGCACTAGCTGAAGAGCTGAGGGACAGCGCCCAGGCCCAGAGTTCAGGCCCCATGACCAGACCCCCAAAAAAACAAAAAACAAGAACTCAGGGACAATGCCCAGGCCCTGAGTTCAAGCCTTACAGCATACAGGAAGGAAAAGAAAAAGAAAAGAAAAAGAAAGCCAGCTCCTCCCTCAAGTAGCCAGCTGTGTCTCTGGGCAGACTTGCTCTCATCCTGGAAGGAATCTCAGGTCCCAAACCCCTGTAGTCCTTGGCAGATGGACAGTGCTCGGTGTTCAGGCCTCGGTGCCTGCTCCCTGGCTAGGGACAGGGCTGGACAGGTGGAGAGGGGCAGGGCTGATAGGAAACGCCAGTAGTCTTATCAAACTGGCCCAGGTTGTGCAAATAAGTGCAAACTAACACAGCCAGGGGGTGGATTCTGCTCCATGTGAGGTCAGGCTCCCTGGTTCCTCCCTAAAAGTGAGTATGCAAGGCACTGCTTCCCCCTCAGGGCAGGAGAGATGGGGTGAGCTGGCTGGGGTGTCAAGGAACTCCAGATAAGCAGAAAGCAGCTGCTGGCTCAGCAGGACGAGGGTCAGTGTGAGCCGGACGCAACAGGCTTCCGAAACCCACAGGCCGGCCCACCGCCCCGGGTGACCCTGACGTGGAAGCCTGACCTTCCGCAGGCCATCTCCACCCGCACCATGCCCTGGGGCTCACGCCTGCAGTCCAGGCGTCTGGGAGGTGGGGTCCAGGCTGGGGTCAGCGCCCGCCTCGCCTTGGGTGAGGGGCGCATGGAAGTGGGCGGCGCTGGACAGGGCTGGACGGAGCTGGACAGGGCTCTTCCGGCCCCTGGTAGTGGCCCCTGCCCCACCCCGCACCCCAGGCCCGAGCCCTGCACCCCACACCCTTGACCCGGGCTCCCACTCATCATTTGGCGACCACGTGACCCGGAGAGCCGGGCGATGCAGGGCCCCCCAACTCCTCCTGCCCGCCCCCTCCCTGTCCTCCAGGCCCAGGGCACACGTTTCGGGGTTTGCCGCCCCTCGCGGACCGACCTTGCTTCCCGTGCTCAGGACCTGCCACGGCCACGTCTCCACGCTCCCGAACAGCGAGTTCCGGATGAGGCCCAACATGTCGCCGCAGGACGCGGGAGTGGGGCGGGCCCGGGGTCTGCGGGGCGCTGAGCGGCCTCGGCGGCTGCCTCGGAAACCACGCCCCTGTAGGGCGGGGCCTGAACAGGGGGCGTGGTATCCGGTGGGTCCTCTCACCCGAGAGGCTCAGAGATGTGGTAGGGGCGTGGCCTCTGTAGGCTCCGCCCACTGGAGCATCCCTTTGGGAGGTGGCAGAGGCGGAAGCTCTCGGTGCAGCGGGGCGGGGGCTCCTAAGGCTCCGCTCAACGCAGAGGGAGCGCCGAGCCGGAAGCTCTTGGAGGGGCTGGGGCGTGGCCAGATAAAGCACCGCCTACCGAGGGCGTGGCCGAGCGGGGCCGGCCCCGCCCCTAGCCCGGTCGGGGCCGTGGGAAGTCTGATCAGCGCCCCGCCGCCGGGGGCTTGAACTGGGGATTCTGGGCGCAGTCCACCCGAGCGCCCGGCCCAGCCGCTCCAGGAGAACGCGTCTGCAGCCGGAGCCGCTGGAGGCGGGCTCCCGCGACTTTCCAGGCCTGGGGTATACAGACTGTTATGCAACGGTGTTCCCGGCCAGGAGGGGTTCCCGGGGTCTGACCGCGCGACCCGGGAGCCGGGCCGGGCCGCCCGCCAATCAGACGCGGCCTCGTTCCCAGAAGCGCGGCCCCCGCCCCGGGTGCGTTGCGCCATCGAGGGAAAGGGAGGGGAGGAGGGCCGGGAGGCGGTGCGCATCTTCTTGGAAGGAGCAGCTCCGTCCGTGCAAACCGGGGATCCCTCCCACCCTGCCGGGGGAAGTCTAGTCCGCGCGGAGACTCGCAGCAGACCCGGGCAGGGTCCTGCGCTCCCGCTCCCGGGCTCGCAGACGCAGGAAACCCGCACGGCCGCGTTCATCACCGCGCCGAGCACGGCAGCGGACCGGCCAGCCGCCGGGCACAGACTCGGGGGCCGTCCCGGCGACTCAGGAGGCTGCGATCTGAGGATCGAGCTGGTAGGCCAGCCCAGGAGCGGAAAGCCCGTGAGACTTATTTATAGTCGCGGGGGGGGGGAGGGGGGAGGGAGGGAACAAGCTGGAACGGAAGGCAAGTCTCCAGCGGTACAGCACCAGTCATGAAAGCAAAAGCGGACTGGCACAAAAGCAAAAGACACCTAAAAAGCCAATGCAGGTCTCTGGCTACAGAGTCCCCCCCAGCCCCCCAGTACCTGCCTGCACCTGCTAGCCCCAAGGCGGCCTCTCCGTAGGCCCCGCCCGACCAAGCCACGCCCTCAAGACCACGCCCGCCACCTGCCCGGCCCCGTGAGGCTTGGCGCTCTTCCCTCGAGACCCTGCCTCAGGAAACTCGGCCCCGCCCCTAAAAGTCCTGCCTCAGACAGCTCGGCCCCTCCCCTCCCTCCTGGCCCCGCCCCACGCGGCTCGGTCCCGCCCCTCCCCTCCCTCCTGGCCCCGCCCCACGTGGCTGGGCCCCGCCCCCACACCCCTAGCTTGTCCGTGTGGCTTGGCCACGCCCCTCCATCCCTCCTGGCCCTGCCCCTCGCGGCTCGGCACCGCCCCTCTCGTTCCTCCTGGACCCGCCCCACGAGGCTCGGCCCCGCCCCTCCCATCCCTCCTGGCTCCACCCTGTGTGGCTCGGCCCCATCCCACCCATCCTTCCTGGCTCCGCCCCGTGCGGCTCGGCCCCGCCCCTCCCATCCTCCTTGGCTCCTCCCTCTGCGGCTCGGCCCCGCCCCGCGCAGCTCTGCCCCACGCCTCCCTTCTCTCCTGACTCCGCCCCACGAGGCCCCGCCCCGCGCGGGCTCTGTCTCCCGCGGCGCGCGCAGGCGCACCGGGGCCTCCACCATGGCGACGGTGCTGTCCCGGGCGCTCAAGCTGCCGGGTAAGCAAGGGTCG